CTCCAGCAGGCTACTCGCGGCCTATTCTTATAGATGCCGAACAGCAGTGAGTAAATAGCCGAATAGCCGAATGCCTCTGTGGGACCGAGCAGAACAGAAAAATAGTTTAAAAAGTACAAAAAAATAAATAGAAAACTATTGTGCGGAGCTAGCAGTGACAGCTAGCTCCGCCCAACTGTTTATTATTGGCCGGCGGTTCTGCTGCCGTCTAAAAAGAAAAACATTTTTGCCATAGGAATGCATTGCTAGATTCCTATTGGCTATTTAAATTTGCAATAGCCAATAGCAAACTAGCTATTGCACCCGTCCTCTGCTGCTGTCAATCACTAGAGGGGACCTGATGGAGAACTGCAGGTCCGCTCTGCTGATTGACAGCAGCAGTGGGCGGGTGCAATAGCTAGTTTGCTATTGGCTATTGCAAATTGAAATAGCCAATAGGAATCTAGCAATGCATTCCTATGGTGACATTTTTTTTTTTATTCTGACAGCAGCCAATGGCTCCATGTCAGAATAAAAAAAAGAAAAAGCAGGTAAAGTTTTACTCTGCTCAATCGAGCAGAGTAAACCTTTCTTGGAAAAAGTGTTTCTCTCCTGTTGGTAGCGGGAGACTCCCGGAGTGCCCGGGAGAGTTGGGCTGTCTGGAGATCTGTGTCCCTGGTTAGCTGGCAACCAGGGATGCTAATCTCTCTGCAAGTGGCTGCAGCCAGCCGTGAGATGGCGGCTAGCTCCGCCCAGCTGTCAGAAGCAGGCTGTCGGCTGACCAATGGCCGGCCATTCGGCCAGCTTCGGCTTTCAGCGCGGCTCAGTCGACTGAGCCGCTCGGCCAACTTCTGGAGCTGGGGAATAGCCCGTAGGGAATAGGGAATAGCCCGTACAGCAGCCCTTCCGTTCTGCTGAAGCTAAGGCTAGATCCTTCGTGAATAGGCCCCATAGTATTTGGCGTACATAGACACTTCCTATCAGTGAGCAGGAATGAGTCCCAGTCAGTTAGACTGGTCAAAGGGTTTTTTCCTTGTACTTCATTAATTTGCATGCATCACCTACTGTTTATTTTTACACTTCTTAAGTCAAGGGCTATGTACCCAAGGATTAAGAAGAAAATACAGTCTGCCAAGTATATTGGATTAGTTTTTGAAACCCTTGGAATAGTCACATACTTGTTAATTCTTAATTACATTTAAAAACAATTTTTTGTATTTATCAGAGCATTTATATTTATCTTTTGGGGGAAAAAAACTTTTATAACTCTCAAAACAGAGGCATCCTCTCACTACAGGTATTTTAAATTAATTGAATTAATCATAGGCTTAAAAGTCTCAAGTGATCTTGTTTAACTTTCCTGGGTTTAATTAAAACATCTGTGCACTTTTAATTTATCGATTTCTTCAACTCATATGTCATGTTTTAACACACCTCAGCATGCACTGCATCATTTTTAACCCGATTTCCACTTAACTGAAGCAATTAAAATCGCCCCGGATTAATTAAAGCATCCATACTTTAGTGCTTAAGTCAGCGTGTGTAGCTTTCCCCTCATGGTTTCTGAATGTCAGGGATTTGACACACCTGATGAGTTTTTTGTCCTCTGAAATTCTTGGATGAATCTCTACTTGTATCCAGATAGGCAGCTCTGTCTTGATTTCTTTTTTTGTAAGTATCTTTAGATAGATTGTGCAATATACTTTCTGTTGTTAAACCTGACCAGGCACAGTCAAGTTTAAGGTCTGATCTATCAAGCTAACATAATTCACCAATAGCTATGTAGTGTGAGGGTCAATTAAATATTACATTATGTACAGAGCTGCCAACATTTTGAAAAAAATTCCAGGAGCACCCTTTTTTCTCTGTGTCCAGCAAGCCATTGTTGGCAAGGAATGTACTTTAGTTAGGGGTGGGACATTCATTTAAAATAGGCGTAGTTCTACAAAAGGCATATTGTTAATCTTTTGTACAGTTACATTTTACATTAATGTATATACAGGAAAAATTGTCATAATACAGACAGAAACACAGCCAGAAGGTATTGCTCATTAGCAAAACTATTTATATATTTGTTTAGCGAGCTACAATTTTCAGTCTGCGCTGTCTATTTAAGGTGTGGGAACCCAAAAGCTCTTGCAGGGAATACAGCGGTAAACACCAATTACAGTGCAAACAAATTTGGTACAAAATATTTAGAAAACATCATTTGGCACTAACTTTCTGCTGAGCACTGCAGGATATGTTGGTTTTTTTTAGGTGTGTATAGTGTACAACATAGTGTATACCGTGTACAACATAGTGAATGCAGGGTTTAGGATCATAGTGTAAAGCATAGAGGGGAATTTATCAAAACTGGAGCAGACAGAATCTGGAGCAGTTGCCCATGGCAACCAATCAGCTTCTCTCTTTCATTTTTAAAGCCTAACTGAACAAATTGAAGAGAGAACCCCAGTGTATAGGGTTCAGAATATTATGTGCAACATTGTGAATACAGTGCAAGGGTCCGGATTATGTAAGATACAGCACTGTGTACGGAGTGCAGTGATCATTAATAATATGCCCCTTACTGCTAGTCAGTGGGAGAAAATAGCCCCCAAATTTGGCATAACAAAAGTGGAGTAATATCCCCCACCTCCATCCTGAAATGGATAGCTGCTCTTTGTTCTTCTTTTCTCCCTCTGACCAACTCTTTCACTGCTTTCTACTCTCAGTGCTGCTGCAGTGCCTTCACCCCTAAAGAGGCAGTGTCATGCCCACCCCACACCACCATCACCACCACCTTTACTTAAACAATGTGCTGAATTCCTTTAAAGTTGGAAAAATTATTTTCAGGTGAATGAGCCACATTGGTATTTAGCATATGCTTTAACAGCCACTGGATTTGCATGGATGTGAATGAGCTCAACAAAGCAGAGGCAGAGGTAGTGACAGACTTAGCAAGCGTCACACTGTGATCCCAGGACACAGCTTAGGACACAGTTTTTGAAGTTTTTGAAGCTGAATAAAAGTGAAACTAACCCGGTAAATGTGGGATAGTTGGTCAGTATGTGTGTACAGTTAGATAGACTTACTCGGTTGTAAGTAAGTTCAAAACAAACCTGAAAAAAAAATCTGAATTTTTGTGCCATCAGAATCATTAAACCCTCTCTCTCGCTATTTCCCTTTCTCCTTCTGACCATCTTTTTGACCCATTTCTTAAAGCAAACCTGACTTTACCTAAATTCATTGTACGTGAAAAACAGTGCTGAAATGCAGGCATCATCATAGTTTTAGAACTGATCCCTATGGTCTCCCTTTGATCCTAGGCCTAAATCGAGATTAAGTCACGTCTCCCAGCACTGAACCCTACTCTTGGCTTTCAATTGTCTAAAGCCAGAACTTTAGTATGTAATAGTGACTGCCATTTAATAGCTGAATGACAGGTAGAGAAATTATTAAGCTTACCTTGGACAAATGTATGATGGTTTTTTGTATTATTTTTTTCAGGCTTATATTGCTTTTAATATTTTGTACTTTTTTTTGTCAGAATCAGTGTTATAATAATATTGATGAAGTGTAGCTATCCTAACACAACTAGTCAGACAGAATAACCATCTGTCTTGCTTTTAAATGCTTTTAATGAAAGAGTAAGAGTTTGTTGTTTACTTGAAGCTAAGAGTGGTGCATCTATATTGGAAACAGCTTAACCTAAAACAACATTTTTTATTAAAAAGAAAATGCTAATTTAGTTGAAGGAGTATCTATCTATCTATCTATCTATCTATCTATCTATCTATCTATCTATCTATCTATCTATCTATCTATCGATCTATCTATCTCTTTATCTACATGTTTACACAAAGGAGTTTCTGTACCTGATAATGTTCACTCATGTTTATCATTTACAAAGCTTTTCTGTATCTGTTCAATACAGATGGGTACTACTGCCAAAATCAGAGTATTGGATTTTATATCACACAAATTAAATATATTTTTAAAAAGTAATGAAAGTAATCAATAAGTAGCCTATCTGAAAACGCAAGTGATTGATTTTCTATTGAAAATGCTATGTAAGAACTATTGATTGAAATGCATGTGTGCCTTGTGTTTCAGCGGCATGTCCAGTTCTGTGCAGTGGTAATGGACAGTACTCCAAAGGCACCTGCATATGCTACAGTGGCTGGAAAGGAGCTGAGTGTGATGTGCCAAGCAGCCTGTGCATTGACCCTACATGTAGTGGCCATGGCTCTTGTATTGAAGGAAACTGTGTGTGCTCTGCAGGGTTCAAAGGAGACAACTGTGAAGAAGGTACATACATAACATTTTTCTAAAGATGCTTGTATATTATTGTGTGCTACTGATAATGCAGGTTGTTTTTAGAAATGGCTAATAGTAAACAATAGTTTTAATTGGCAGTAAAGTGGGATTTTGTGAATCCATTCAGTAAAGTAGTAGAAATTATATACTATATAGTATAACATAATGGAATGATTGCACTGGATTATATGAACATTTATAAGAATTGTCAATCCTAAATTAACAATGAATAATAACAATGAGGTCCTACCAAACAGCATGTACAGTATTACCTTAATTTTAACGTAACCTATCATAAAACATTCCTAAGGTAACAACAATGCTAAAGTACAGGAATCTTTAGCACTTGCAAATACCTATGTTCAACCTCAAAATGATCCCTGTGTCCCTGAGGATCTCTATGGATCCTAGACCTTGCATGGGGCCTTTATTTCAGAGGACAAAAAAAGCTCTGGCACTTGAAAGTTAAATGACAGGAGATGGGTGTTGGTGTTAGGAGAGGGCAGGGTTTAATCCCAGAATGAGCAAAAATCAAGGTTCCTTGAGCAACATAGGTGTATAAACTAAGGGGGCACTACAGGGATCTATTTAAAGGCTAATACAGATACTTGCAGGCATCAGAAGGTTTCTCCAATGTAACTATCTTGTTGTCTCAGAAATGTTTTAGACTAAGTAAGGCTAATTTTAAGATGTCCAAAAACAGTTCAGCTAAGGTGTGGCCAACAGATCCAAAAGACAATACCAGGTGGTCTACAATTGAAGGTCCAGGCCTTATACTCCCAACCCAAAAGGTTGCATGACCAGGAAACCAATTTTGCTAAGGAGATATCCAAGGACTGTTAGAATCATTACATTGCAATATCCAGTAAGGGTATTTAAATGACCCTTCGGACTGCTAAAGAACTCAATGGTACAATCCCTTGAAATCAGCCTAACCTACTGGGAGTAGGGTGCACAAGAGGTACCTTTACATGAGTATATAGGGATGAGACGTAAAGTGTAACTCCACACTAGTGATATATAAAAGAGGATGAGCAAAAACCATCCACTTATACACTCAGAGGTGTCTCTGGGGCCTTAGGCTAGGCACACACCGTACAACCATCGCAAGACTTTTGTACTTTAAAAAACGTACGATCTGCCTATCTTGCATAGGCAGATCGTACTTGCGATGATCGCAAGCCACGCCCCCTGAGGGGCGGGCTTCCGATGACTGCAATGCCGAACGGGCAGTGTGCGCTTGCGCACACCGGCCCGTATGGCTGTTATCGTACGGACATGTCACAAACCTGCCGAACATCATACGATGCTCGGCCGGTTTTCGAACATGTCCGTAAGTTTAAAGTCGTGCGACCTTACAGTAGTAGAGCAAAATTGTAGAAATGTCACCAGCACACCAATCCTTTTAAGATAGCAAAAGCTTCACTTATTGAAGTTTTTGGTCATATGACGAAAAAATTTCAATAAATGAAGCTTTTGCTATCTTAAAAGGATTGGTGTGCTGGTGACATTTCTACAATTTTGCTGACATTAGCGGCGCCATCCGCGGTCACTGCGAGCACCCCCCACTACAAGGGACATATCGGTAAGGAGTGCGACAAGGATAGTACTTACTTACAGTAGTAGAGGTCGCACAGCTTCCACACACCTTACGATAATCGTACGGGATTTCCCGCGATTATCGTACGATTATCATAAGGTGCGTGGGGACCTTAAGAATGAGTCTGTAGTGTCCCAAAACAATCTATTTAAAGACAGATGCTGAGATGGGGACAGGGACCACAAGCCTGGCTTATTTAAAAGCTCAAGAGTGTCAGATACAGACTCCCTAAGTGCATGGGGCATGCCTAGAGCCTCTGTGGGAAGAGTGCCTCCGTAACTGAGCACTAAATGTCCTTAATGGACATGGAGGAGGATGTGGCCTCACTCGATGGAATTATGTACCTGGAAAAGACTCCACAGGTAACACAATACAATCAGGTCTGGAAAGTGCCACAACGCAGAGCCCGGTGCCCAAAGGTTACACTCTGTGCTAACCCTGTATTCAATTCAGCAGGGTCTAGGCACAACTTCCAAACTAGGCTGAAGAAACACTGAGCCAGATAGCTTCTACATAGAGACCAGCAGTACAGCAAGGAATCTTAATTGCAGTCACAGAAGAAAAATCCACAAGGAAAGTGCTTGCAAAAAATTTTCTTCAGGTCCGCAGACCTGAAGAAAAGTCATCCAACTTCCTAGAGCACAAGCAAAAAAATGAGGCATGCTAGGTAGAGGAGGAGCTCTACAGGGCCTGGCTTACATTTTTTTGTTTGCCAGTGTCCAAACATTCTTCCAGCATCAGTATATGATAACTGTATGTGAATTCCTTTGACACACAATTTAGGAGAAAGAAAACAGGAAACCAAAATATTTCAAATAAAATCACATGTCATCATATTTAGTAGGTTCTACAAATGAATGACAAAGGGGTCTATTCATTAAGATGCCGAGGGCAGCCGAGTGAATGACCGATCTGAAGTGAAGTGAGCCGAACACTGTTCGGCTATTCACTTCAGGCTGGTACGGCTGATTTCAGCCGTACATCGACTGAAACCGGCCGTACATCGGCTTGCTTCAGGTCGGCCAAACATGCTCAGCATGTTCGGCCAACCCGAAGTGCAGAAGGAGTTCGACTCAGCCGATCCAACATCTGGATCGGCTGAGACGAACCTCGGGCAGGCTAAAGTCACATAAACAGTGAAAATAATTAAAAAAGACAATTAGACAATATGAAAAGCAATAAGGTATAGAAGGCAAACTGTACATTACATTACATTACAAAAAAATATTTTAAGCTATAAATGAAAAATAAAGGTTAATGTGAGGAATGCCATTTTCAGAAAACATAGAAGATCTTGGCTGCAAAATATTAGGTTTGGAGAAACAAAGCTTGGTGAGGTTTATATTTTTTAGAGAAAGCCATACAGTAGATGACAAAAAAGCACTAGGCTTAGCAGAATATTAATGCAGAAATGCATGCACATATTAGCCATTTTAAATGCACAGTTACCATCCTTAAAAAAATACTCCATATGTTTAGGGTACTGTATATCATGATGAATGGTTGCTTATGAAGTATGTCATAAGGGATAGTCAGTACAAAGCCCACTGTTTCTGGGCTTAATTGTAAGCATACATCCTGCATATAACCCTCAATTTAACTATGATAAAGATTATATCAATGCTTAATTTTCCATTCACATCTATTTGTAACAACCATTTTAGTATAACTAAACAAGAGCAACACAGTTTTCCATGTTACTATTAAATGAAGCAGTTTACAATATTGATTGCTCTTCCAAAAATAATGAAACCATGTCATTCATATGCCCTTATCAAAGCACAGAATGCAATTGAGAACTCTGAGTCAGCAGTATTTTTTATTCAAGTTAAGCTTTTTAGTTGGGATATTCATCATAGCTATGTCGTCCAAACAATTCACCTGAAATGGAAGTGGCATGGAAATCAATAGGATCCATATTTTCTGCCGCATAAACACTGTTGCTCTATTAACAAATTTGCAAAGGAAAATTAAATGGAACATTTGTCAGATTTTACACTTTGTTGCAGTGAGTACATAAGTGAAATTGACAAATTAGGTTAACTTAGTGCTGGTGTATTTGCCCATCACATGGGCAAGTCATTTTTCAATGACATTTATCTTTATAAATGCAATTCATGGTTTATTAGAAGCCTACAATGCATACTGCTCACAGACCTACTTGATACCCTATGCCTTTCTTCTTTTTTCATTTTTATTTTCTGCCTTTGGGAAAACATTACACTCCCTTTAAAACCTGTTTAGAAATAATACAGCTAAATGAGCTTCAATGGTTAAAAGTTGGGTCGAGACTGTATGCTTTGTGACTGTAATATGACATACTACTGCTCAATTTTTTTCTCTTTAGCCTCACAACTTAAACATATTTATTTTATCACTTTAGATTTTGGTGATAGTAGCATAAAAATTGAAGAAAGCGTGACAAATGTGACAAATGTGACAAAGCTGTTCAACTTTAATAGTTGCAGTCATAAAATTAAATTTTTAATAAAACATTTCTCATTACAGTACAATTATATTCATACAAACCCATACAAACCAGTTCCCATGAGAAGACTGAAGGCTAAATATGACAGGAAAAGGATATTTTTTAAAACATGACTAATAAAAGACGTTTTCCAGTTTAGTTGAAATGGGGTTAATTTACTAAAGGAGAGCAACACCAGTTTAACTCAGTGAAGCTGTGTTTACTCAACTCATCCAAAGATGTACAAAGGAAAATTTTCTAGCTTTTAAAATGCTTCAATAAATAGTTAAATACTCAGGGCAAACTGTACACAGGTTACTTTTAAGTCACATATATATATAAAACAATACATTGAGATGTCACAGTCTATTTCTACCATTTAATTATTTCTTGGATCAGCCTTTACATTCAAAATGAATTCAGCCCTTTGCAGGTAAGTGTTAAGGTTTTCCAGTCTGCTCTGTGGGTTGGTAAAGGCGTCATCCCATGTGTGTGCCATTTACAGGATGGAGCAGAAGCTCTTACTCTTTTGCCCATAGATAGCCCATTGGTGCTTTGGCTCTAGTAAAAATCTTGATTTTATTTGAAAAATATGAGAGAGGGAATTTTGGAGAGACATCTAGTAAGGAGGTACAGAACCAGAATGGTACAATACTTCCATTTTAGATATATTACTTCATAAAGGGCAGGAACACCCACCACACAACTTTATGCACCTAAATAAAAACAAGATCCTTCAAGATTACCATTGGCTTTAAGGCACACATAGATCTCTGGTCTGTGGCTTGCTGATCAGGAGTCCATGCTCTGGGACAAAGTGCTGGTTCCCCTCATGTGTTAGTGAGGTTTCTAGTCAAACTCTTTACTAGATCAACATGCATTGAACATCAGCCCGGTGAAGTAAATCTCAGTATCAGCTCCTGTAAATTGCCACTGAAGCAAAATTGGGTATACCCCCTCTGGAATTTCACATTTATCAAAAATAGTACTAAGATTCTAAACTTTGTATATTCTGTCACTATTTTACCAGTGTTTTAAAAAGTTAACAGTGGCTAAGTCGTTGTACAGGTACCACAGCACTTTAATATTAGATAACTACAGGTTTAAGATTAAAACCCGAGTTGCAATAAAAACAAACAAAAGAAAACAAATACAGACTGCTTTGTGTTTGCGATTTTAATTTTTTTGTGTCTATGATTATAGTTGACTGCATTGACCCAACATGTTCCAACCATGGAGTCTGTGTGAACAAGGAATGCCTTTGCAGTCCTGGATGGGGAGGCCAGAATTGTGAACTTCCAAGAACTCAGTGTCCAGATCAATGCAGTGGGCATGGCACTTACCTCACTGACACAGGTCTGTGTAGCTGTGACCCTAACTGGATGGGTCCTGATTGCTCTGTTGGTAAGAAAAAGTACTTTCACTTTACTTTATCTTCAGCTTTACCCTGAATACAACCCTAACAAGATGGGAGTCAATGATATAAGCAAACCATGTAATTTGGAAGGCCGCAAAAATGGCTGCCTTCCTTAGGCATTTGTGATTGGTTAACTTTAACACCAGGTAGTTCACATACTAAATAAAGCTTTCAATTAAATACCTTTGTAAACCAATTGTCTAGTGCATTGGTTGTATATATGAGTTTATTTTGTTTCAAATGGATTCTTGAAATAAACATTTGATTACTAATAATGTCAAGAGCAAATCCAAGATAAAGCATGAAGTGCATAGAAGCTGTAGCTTTACTTTTATGTGCCACTCACTAACTTAAAATAGCTGCTACTAATTATGGCATAATATAGCAAGTTGTAGATACATATGTTTTATTATCATTAACAACTCAATACCCTTATTTTTTGAGGCAGATTATAGTTTTCACTTACTGCACTATTAAACAAAATGGAAATTTGTCAAATTAGGTTGGACTATGTAAAGAGACAGCTGAACAATTCAAAATATGGTAATATATTTGTGGCCCTTAAATGGTTAAGCTTAGCATAATTTTGAGTATAACCTAGAAGATCTGGAGCATCCAGTGTCTAACCCTATGAAATACACATCAGAAAGGGCCAATTGCTATGTTTCAGAAAAAAAGGACAGAAGGCAATGTTTGAGAAAATATTGGAGTTGTTTTCCTTAAGGAGTAAAAGCTGTTCATTTAGCCAAGGTATATAGGGTGTAGTAAATAGGGTGTACCAACATTGAAAAAACTATTTGCTGAGTGAACATTCAGATTGTTATTTATATAGCCTTTACGGCCTGTGTCGGAAAGATTCTATTTATGTCAGAAATACTTCTCTCCCTATACAAGTCTATGGGAATGCAGGTCAAATGCAGGTCAAACGTTGGTCAAATGCACCTGCCAATTAACTTGATTGATCTTTAGAAGCATCTTAAACTGATGACAAAAGCAAGCTGCATCTGCCCATCAACACAGACTTAAAGCCCATTGATACAGGCCCTTAAACCTTTAGTGGATCGCCCCCATTGTGTGAGTACTGAATTATATCTAAACCTGGGAACATAAATGGAATATATTGCAACAATGCTGCTCAATCCATAGATACAGTGCAGTAAGTGGGCATTGTTACTCTAGGACAGGGAGTATGCCACTGGCAGCACCACCATTGGAAAATAAAGGGAAAAAAGCTTGAAAAGGAGAATCAATGCAGCCACCACATCTAAGGACTGGTACGCTGCAATATGTTACATTTTCATTTTTGAATTTAGATATGCTTTAAACATTACAAGTGACCAGAGAAAAAAAAAGCTAACCTTTGAATCGCTAAGCCTTATGAAGAGATATTACATGTTGTGGACAATAGGTGCTTATTTTACAAGACTGTTTGACAGGATAAACTCATGTAATCATAGTTAAACAAACCAATTGAAGGATTATTACAGCAGAATTACAAGTTGCTCTGATATACAAAAGTAAATATTTTGGAAATACATGCAATTTTCCTTTTCACTTGTATCGACTGTTGGTGGTAACACCTGTGTTCTAGCTGTCTGTGAAGAACTGTAATGTAACACCTTGCAAAAAAATGGCACCTTACATTAAAGCCTATCTTTTGGATGTGCAATTACACATTCAGTGTACTCAAATGATACCTTTTTACAGTTTAGTAAAAACATGCATCTTTTTGAAAAATATTTTTTTGGTTTAGCAAAAACAGACACTACTCCAATATGTTCATTAGCAATAAAACAACAGGTGAATATATGCCTTCTAGCAGTTATTCATTCATATTGATATTGCATGTTCAAATAGCTTCAACACCTATTGTCCATAATTAAACAGAATAAAGAAAAGAACATTATCCACAAAAGAACTTGAACATAGTGATCAGTTTTCAATTTTTATTGTATGACATTAAACAAAATAAGGAATCTTATTATTTAATGTGGGCAAGTTCTTCACTTTTGGGAAAACATTTTTTGTCCAATTTATTATTACATAATCATTATTTAAGCCTAATCTTATGTAAATGCTATTAGACATATGTCTTTTTTGATGAACTGATATAAATATAATTATTTCCCCTAACATTATCTGCTCTTTATTGCAGAGGTATGCTCAGTGGACTGCGGCACTCATGGTGTTTGTGTTGGTGGAGCATGTCGCTGCGAGGAAGGGTGGACTGGGGTGGCATGTGACCAACGTGTTTGTCATCCTCGTTGCACTGAACATGGAACATGCAAAGATGGAAAATGTGAATGCAGAGAGGGCTGGAATGGGGAGCACTGCACCATTGGTAGGCAAACGACGGGCACCGAAAGAGGCACATATTGCTTTATTCTCATACAACATATCACTGTTACTTTGTGTTCCATCAAGGGAGCCACTATATTCCAACTGCAAATATAAAATATGCTGATGACCTTGGTCAAATGCTTACCATGTAGTTTATCTTTTCCATGATAACTATAATACACAATAATCGTTTGGGATTTTAAAAGTTCTGACGGGATAGAGATACGAAATGTTACATACAATTCATTTGAGTTTCTTTAGCTGTGGCACACCTTTATGGAGCATTGCTTTGAAAATGCTCATTTACTGAAATGAATATTTTTACCCTAAATCTAGCTGGCATGTGAATTATAATGGTACTTTATTATGTGTGTTAATGGAACAAAGGAAATCCTAGTATTGGCAGCAGTATATAGTATACAAAGCATATTACTTTTAGTTTTGTAGTGCACATTCAAATTTCTAAGCATACAACTTTTATTTTAATAAATTAAAATTTTATTTAATATTTTAAAAGTAAAAAACACAGTTGATAGCACCATGACTGTTTTATAACCTTAACACTAATAATGCTAAACTTAATATAGTCAGCAAAGGAAATTACTTTTTCAAATTGGCCTGTTGTAAGTGTATTGGAAGTTTTCTCAATGACATGAATGGGGAACCATCAGACACACACTGAGACATAGCAGAAGATATTGCAGGTCATAACCCCAGAAAAATAGAAAATACGGCAAGTAATACTGGTGTAACTTTATTAGTCCTCCTTGGATGTTTCCATTCATATAGAGCAAGCTTCATGCAAGAGTAAGTATTTAATAATGATTTACTCTACATGGACTTAGTTCTTAGTCATCTTACCAGTTCATATTATTATCAGTTATCACTGCATTATTAAGGGGAGAGAGGAGCCAGTGCATCATTAACAGGAGGAAGCACTGACTCCTACTGCAAGCTCACAAACCTTGGGTCTATCAGTGTTCAAGATCCAGTGGGTATTTTAGTTTTATATAGGAGCAGAGGGTTCAGGGGTTTGTGGTGTGGGACTTTGTCTCAAAAGGAAATAAGTACCGTGTTTCCCCTGAAAATAAGACACTGTATATAGACACTTATATTTTTTTGGCTCAAGAAAACACACTAGGTCTTATTTTCGAGGTAGGTCTTATTTCTTTTTTTTTTTTTTAAGTACAGCAATCCATACTTATTCATTTACAAAAACATGATGATCAGGGCAATCAGGGGTGCCATACCTTTCCTACCTTTCCAAGAGCAATTTGCTAACCAATCACTGGCCAGAATTTGGGAAGCGCACTTTCACTATCGATTCTTCACAGGCGGAGTGCATTTGGTATCACTCCGCCTGTGAAAGGAGTCGGTGAACTGTCGACACTGAGAACTTATCGAGTTCTGCGACCACCTGACTTCCGGTTTCGTTTCAACTTAGAGGTTTGCCCAAGAAACATGTTCTGCACGAGCGCCAGCCAAGGCATTGCCCTATACACATACACCACAGCAATGAAGTAATAAAATGAACTAGGATCACACTAATCCAGCACGTTATTAATCTCACGTGCCCCACTCAATATGGCCGTGTGCTGGATTAGTGTGGAAGATTAAAAACATCTAACTATATCTGTGGACAAGATAAGACTTTCGGTAACTGAAAATCCAACATGCTCTCATACGAAGTGGGAAAACGCACTGTAGCCCACATCTGAACACAACTTGTTAAATTTGTGTGTTAATACCATCTGATTTGTTGCATGATTTTTTAGTAAGTCCTGGGCTTACAGATTCAGGAAATAATTATAGAAACAAAAAGCAAACACTACATTTCTGTGTTCCAGATTAATTTAAATATCCCCTTTCTGCAATGCATAGAAATATAGATTTTGTTTGCTTGAACAACCAAATGTGACTAAAAAGGTCAGATGCTGTCCCCAGTGGATTAGAAAGCAGATTGTTTCTCCTAGCAGATAAGGTTTTCTAGATTATTACAGTCTCTTTCAACAGAATTACTCCAGCAACAGCAAGGTTACAAGTTTAAATTAAAAATGGTACTTTGAGTAGGAAAATATTAATTTTGTAGGACATATCCTAAGGTATCTTTTTCATAATTCAAACTTTATCAACAATCTTAATTGAAGCAATATGTACATGAAGAGATAATTAATAACTTTGCCTTACACATAACTTTCTGTGCTCATTTACATGATCACATCCAGAATCCTTTGCGCCTGCTTCATGCTGTGTGACTCACTTGTCTGGAACAAACTGTACTGCCCATGTGAGCAACCTCCAGAGAACTATATTTTTCTACTTCTGAACTTAACGCTGAACAGTTTTGTTAATGTAGCATAAACTTATTAATTCATGTATCATTTTAAAAGCAGGGACTTTATTATTTTTATTATAAATGAGCAACCTCTTTTTAGTGTTGTGCATTTCCCTATGATATTAATAAACCTATCACCTGCATACACAGTTAATATTAATAAAAGTGGCAACTAACAATTAAATAGCTACATGTGCTAAAAATTCACTGTACAAAAAATATCCAATTACGTGCACAGACAATTGAAAAACAGAATTTTTGTTTGCACAAGATTGGATAATTGAGTCAGCGCAGCTTCACCTCCTTTACTAAGCTAAGTGGAAATTCCCTTACAAACTCAAAGTTCAAAGTTCACTTTTCTAAGTGGACAGCTTAAGTCTACTACACCATAGGCCCAATTTAAATGCTTAAACACTAGTATACACATACTTATTTTTTTTAAATGTGACAGTTGTTTAAAGCCAATGAGATTTAAAAATTACAGTCAAATGCCTGAAAAAAAATCCTTATCTTTGTGTAAATATACACATGGTAAGATATATGGTTTATCTCTTACCTTTTTCTGCAGTTTGTTAAAATAAAGGAACCTCTAACTGTTAAGCAGCTAGGAGTTCACTGCAGCAAATCTTCAACATTGTCATAGCACCTGGTGTCTGAGTACCACAAATGTCAGTATGGCATTTTTTTGGGGGGTGCAAAATATGTATTTCTCAATAGACCCCTTTAAAATGTATATCACATATAACAATCTGTGAAAGAACCCTTAGGAATTGGAAGTAGGGCAAGTGGGTCATTTATTTTCTGTGTCACAAAATCAGTGCCATTAGCTTACAGTATGGGGCTATGTTACATGAGGTACCTAAGGAAAATACCCTTGGAAAATACCCTTGGAAAATACCCTTTTTTCACTCGAAATAATATTGTAATCTGAAAAATGCTCATATTTGCCCTGTTACTTCATGAGAAGTGTGAATTTTAGCGATAGGTCCACTTTAAGCAGATCATGTAGGAGGAAATGCTTCATACTTCAAGGAAGTGTGTTGAGAGAGTTTTTCTCACTTTGAGCCAAATCATTAACAGGCAAGCATCTCAGCATAATAGTCCAAGCACATCTTTTTACCACAAGAACACACAGGCAAATCCCATCTAAAATATCAGTTGCCATTTTGTACCCCTTGTTTACTAAACAAAATAAAATATGAAGTCTTTACTGGCAAAATTAAACACAGCACAAAAGTTCCAGTCTCCTATCCTATCTAGTTCTAAGTATTTCTTGACTCCTAAAGCCATTTAGGTTTGTGTGGAAGGGTCCTTAGCGGGCTCTAGCATCATCTGAGTCTGTCTCACTCTTACTCTCTCTGTATCACACAGAGCTCCAACTTTTATCAGGAGCCTATGTCTTCTCAGTCAGGTATAGAATCGTGACTTGGAGTCTCTTATCTCAGGAACGCCACAGTCTGGGTGCTACGTACACCCCAAACTGGACTATCCTTAAAGCCTATATCTGGGGAAAAACCAAAATGACCCTTCCTGCACTGCAAGGGTTAAATGTGCATTTATGTCTAGATTATCTGGAAAAATTGCTTTTAATTATCTTATCCTCAGCATTTGGTGCTCACCTCATCTCACCTCACCTTTGACTTGTGGAATCCAAGCATACTCACATATATTGGCTATGGGCCCTGCACTGTACTTGATGATGTCAGTATCTCCAACTGCTGGAACATAGGGTGGGATAGTGTAGAATGTGCTCTGATTTGGGGGTGCCTTAAATTACTGATGAATAACTGAATCTTAAATAAGTGTTTGGTTTATTTACAAATAGCTATATACATACATTCTAATTACAGTTAAGGGAATTGGAGAGGGGATTGGAGGGGGTCAGGATCACTGAGCTAGCTACACCATTCTCTCACTCATTCACACATGCCATGGGTTTTTCTCTGTTCTCTGAACACGCCTCACCAGCAGGTCTCAGCGAATCACATTCTTGATTGCAGAGTTCAGAAAGACTTGTCTTGTCCAAAGGTCTTGCTGGTGAGCCAGGTTAGTGTCACACAGGAAGAAGGTTCCATCATATGGCCCTGCCCCCATCCCAGCATATATGCCTTGCTGACACAGGTGTGGGCAGTAAATACCAGCAGGGGGTCAGGCTTGCCCCAGGACATGACCGTCCTGGCAAATCTTCATTACTCAGTGTCCAGCCCCAAGAACCCTTTGATGTCCCTCATTTGCATATCAGCCACTTGCTGATTCCATTCAAGATATCAAGCAACCTTTGCATCAAAGCTGTATTATAGATGTCAATGTTATCGGTTCCAACAGAGAGGCTGTTGGTGTCAGTCTCATAGCCTAGATTTAGCCTACGAGAGCAGACATTATGTATGTAAAAGTCCATTCTTTAGGTACACTAGACTTAAATGAACCTTAGACCTCTGCAGTACAAGGGCAGCGCCACTGGAAAGGATGTTTTCTTTTGTTTTGTTTTTCCCCAGCTTTAAGGCATAACTCCAGGCAAACAATTACAACTTATAATTTAAAATGATTTAAATTAATTACAGTGAAAATGACTCAAAATATTTGCACACCTTAATCATCACCGGTGCAGGCACTTCTTTCTAAAGTTGCATAATTAGGTAAATAGAGTTTGTTTGTAGGTAAGCGGT